AGGCTGGCGGGGGGCGAAAGTCTTTGTCCCCCGCCTCCTGCCTTCAAAAGCTGTCCGGCCAAGGCTTCGCGGACCTCTCCACGAGCAGCGGCAGCGCTGCCGCTGTTTGCGGAGAGTTGCCGGCATGCCGAAGCCTGCGCGCGCTGAGATCAGCGCGCCCAGGCTTCGCGGACCTCTCCTGCCTTCAAAAGCCGTCCGGATAGCGGGAAGCGCTTCCCTGCTATCCCGGACTGCTTTTAAAATGCTGGCGGTGGGGAGCAAAGCCTTTCGGCCCCCGCCAGCCTTCCTGGACCTCTTCTGAAGGCCGGAGGGGGGGGAAAGGCTTTGCTCCCCACCGCTAGCATTTAAAAGAGGTCCCCGGAGATTTCCCTATGGGCTTTCGTCTTGCGAAGCAAGCCCATAGGGAAATTCGTTTTGCGAAGCGCCTCCAAAATGGAAAACCCTTTCGTCTAGCGGGTTTTCCGTCTTGCGAGGCGTTCGTCTTGCGGGGTACCACTGTACTGCAACCACAGAATCATTCAATCAGTAGCTGAACTGGGTTCCACACAGTCACAAAAACAAAACAAAAGGAGCCGCAAAAACAATAATGCAAAATAAATAGCAAACACAGACAGGCCTCAGCGTAACACTCAAAAGAGAAGCGTAACACTCAAAATTGAATCAAGGCACTCAAAACGGAGCAAACCCGGCTTCCCAAAAAGTTTGCAAACTGGAACACTTATTTCCGGGTTTGCGGTGTTTGGGTTCCAAGTTGTTGGAGTACCAAGGCGTTTGAGAACCAAGGTACCATTGTAGAGGCTGGAGAATTTTTTTTCCCCACCTGGGAGCCTGTGTCGGGGCTGCTGATTCTTCTAGATCTGTCAACAGCTTTCGACATGGTCGATCATGAACTTCTGGACCACCGCCTTGCCGACGTGGGGATCCAGGGCACAGTCCTTCAATGGCTGCACTCGTTTCTCTCTGGTCGGGGACAGAGGGTGGCACTTGGGGGGGAATTGTCATCGCGCCACTCCTTGGTGTGTGGAGTACCTCAGGGTACGATACTCTCCCCGATGCTTTTCAACATCTTTATGCGCCCCCTTGCCCAGCTTGTCCGGAGCTTTGGGCTGGGTTGCCATCAGTATGCTGATGACACCCAACTCTTATCTGTTGATGGGTGGCCATCCTGACTCGGCCCCAGACACACGTGGGAGCCGGTTGAAGTTAAATCCTTTGAAGACAGAGGTCCTGTGGCTGGGACGGGACGATATGGGATTGGGGGGGCAACTCCCATCTCTTGCGGGGGTGCAATTAGTGCCAGCACTGTCCGTTAAGAGTTTGGGTGTAATCTTCGACACCTCCCTTTCCATGGAGGCGCAGATTGCAGCTATAACAAAGGCGGCATTTTTCCATCTCCGCCAAGCTAAGCAGTTGGCTCCTTACCTCTCTCGCCCTGACCTAGCCACTGTGATCCACGCGACGGTCACCTCCAGACTGGATTATTGTAACTCGCTCTACGTGGGGCTGCCCTTGAAGCCATTGAAGGACTGTGCCCTGGATCCCCACGTCGGCAAGGCGGTGGTCCAGAAGTTCGTGATCGACCATGTCGAAAGCTGCTGATAGATCTAGAAGAATCAGCAGCCCCGATCCGCCTCGATCCAGCTGTCTACGAAGGTCATCTGTTAGGGCGACCAGAGCCGTCTCGGTCCCATGACCAGCGCGGAAGCCGGACTGGAATGGATCCAGAGCCGATGTTTCATCCAGAAACCCACCAAGCTGTTCAGCAACCGCTCTCTCAATCACCTTACCCAGGAACGGAAGATTCGAAACCGGGCGGTAATTGGATAGATCTAAAGGATCTAATGATGTTTTCTTTAAGAGCGGGCGCACCACTGCCTCCTTCAGTAAATTATTATTATTATTATTATTATTATTATTATTATTACTCGGGAGGAAGCTCCTTTCAGCCAGGCTCCTCTTCGTTTTTCTAGCTCTGTCTGCTTCCTCACCCGCCCTCTCCAAATGGGTGAAAGCAGCAAGGAGAGGGAGCCAAGCTGCCATTAAGGAAACTGGGATAAGGAGAGAGGGAGTACTGACAAGGGAGAGCAGTGAGGTCCGCTGATGCCATCTAACCTCCCCCCCAACCACAAATTATATTAATTATAATAATAATAATTTCTATACCGCTTGATTTTTTTTAAAAAATCTCAAAGCGGTTTACTGCATATTTAACGTCAATAAAACAATCTAGAATCAAACATTTCTGAAGAATGTCAAATATAAAGTATACAGTCAAAGCAACATATTTAACAGGAAACTAAAATATTATCTTAAAATATTTCAAAAGAAAACATTACAAAGGAGGTCGACTACAGAATACATATTTAACACAAAGTTAACAAAAAAAACTTGAACGTTTCAAAAGAAAACATTGCTAAGTGAAGCCAACTATAAAATGCACATTGCAAACAGCATAGTTTACAAGCCAGTTGACTGACTGAACCCAGAGAGTACTCCTTAATGGTTCCTCAAATCCTCTATTACAGCAGTCCATTGCTGCCTCTTGTGGCAGTGAGTTCCATAGCTTAATTCCTCACTGTGCGAAGGGTTTCTTTTATATATCCTGACTCTTCCACCATTCAGCTTCCTTTGACGCCCCCGAATTCTAGCGCTAGGAGAAATAAAAAGCTTTTCTCTACCTACTTTTATAATTTTATAATCGTGTCACTTCTTACTTGCTTTTTCTCTAAACTAAAAAGTTCCCAATTCCGCGACCTTTCTGCACAGCCGAGTTCCTCCATCCCCTCGATAATTTGGGCTGCCCTTTTCTGAAGGTGGGGTTGGGACCACTGGGTGCAAAGTACAACTTCTGGAAAATCTCATTTATCCCTTTTTGGGGGAGGGAAGTTTTCAGCCCCGAAGAGCAGAGCAGACACTTCAACGTGGATGTGAAGTCTCTGAAAACAGAGAGGAAGGTGACCAGGGGTCAGAGAGCGGGGCTTGTCCCTCCCCAGGACTTGGAAAACATGGTAAATCAGCAGCAGCAGAGCTCCACGACTCTCATGACCTGCACAACCAAAATAAATGGTACATAAAGTGCTTTTAAAATGAAGAAGCACGCCTTTTTATGGTCCACAATTCTTTTGTTTTGCTGTGGAGAACAACCAGGCCTGGATGTCTCCTGCAAAGGCCTGACTAAGCAGGGCCTACTAATCATCATGGAACATCTTCTCCCCAGGGACTGATTTCTTGTTTCGTTTTGTTTTTTCAAAGGAAGAACAGAAAAAGATAACAAATGCAGAATTGTTCTTTTATTGTTTATAAGGTGTGAAATATACTCGGAGTCGAGAGTGGATTTCATGCTCTTTATTCAGCTCATAGTGGTGAGGAGAAATGAATGTTCCCCCACAATATCTACTTTATATACATTATTTACACAATGGGCCCCACGTGATTGGCTAATGGATACTGTTAAACAATACTGAAGTATCAGATCTGGAAGGACGTGGTAATAGATTTGGGTAGCATGCTTAATTTTGGTATGAGAAAACAAAGGTGCACGAGGGATTCCTGAACCACGTTATAAGGAAATCAATTCACCAAGTATGGGACAAATATAAGAATTTATTAGAGAACAAGACACCTTTGTGGCTTCCCCCATTAGAAACCATATCTGTAAAAAGAGGTAAACACGAAACTGGGCAACATACAAAGATCTGTTAACAGAAGTAGAAAACAAAGGTGAAAGAATATGAGGATATAAAAGCTGTGTTAACAGGTTGGTTACAATATTGCCAAATAAATGACATATTCAGAGGTGACAAAGAGAAGGACTTTGGGAAGGAATTCTCAAAGTTCAAAAATGAATTATTAGAAAATAATGAGAAATTGTTATCAAGAATGTACAAACCACTGTTGGAATGGGAGACGAAAGATGAAGAGGTTAAAGCTGTAATGATACACTGGGCAAAAGACATAGGTTATAATATACCACTTGAATAAAAGGAAAAGCTGTGGAAAGAGATTTTAAAATTCACGGCATGTAGTTCATTAAAAGAAAATTATATGAAGATGATATACTGATGGTATTTGACTCCAGTAAAGCTTGCTGAAATGTATAAAGAGATCTCTAATTTATGCTGGAAATGTAAGGATAAGGAAGGAACTATTTTTTCATATGTGGTGGACGTGTAAAAAAGTAAAGGGCTTCTGGGAAATGATACACAATGAACTTTTTAAAATTCTTAAAATTACGTTTGTTAAAAAAAACCAGAGGCTTTTTTATTAGGAGTAATAGTAGAAGAATTGCCAAGGAAGCAGAAGAGACTGTTTATTTATGCGACTCAGTGGCGTAGTGTGGGGGATGCAGGGGGGGGTCGGGCGCAACATCTGGGGGGGGCGCTCGCCGCCTCCAGAGTCGCCAAAGAGCCTCGGGCGCAGGCTGTAGCAGAGCCCCATGGCTGCAGCCCAGGCAGCAGCAAGAAGAAGCTGGCAGCGGCGGCAGCTTAGGGGTTAGGGGCGCAAATTACTTGCCTTGCCCCGGGTGCTGACAACCCACGCTACGCCACTGATGCGACTACAGCAGCCAGAATGCTACTAGCCCAGATGTGGAAAGAAGGAAAGGTCCCAACGAAAGAAGAATGGATGACTAGATGACTGGCTAAGAAATATAATTATATGCAAGGTGAATAAAGGGGGGGGGGAATGGAAACCAGGGGGGCAAGGGGAAAAGCCATTTATTGCAAATTTGGATTGGATATCTGTGTACCAAAAGGAAAAATGTTATTTTGAAAATTGAAAATTAGAAAATATATTTTTTAAAAAAATAGTTTAGAAAACGTTTTGGGGCGCCCGTGCAGCTGATCCAGCGGGGCTTTCCGGAGGCGAGACCAGCGCCTCTCCTGCTTTCTGCCCGGAGAATCCCAGAGGCTCCTGCCGCTCGGCTCCGAAACGGTTAAGAGCAGCGGCGACAGAGCTGAGATTCCTAGAGCGGAAGAAAAAAAAGGCTGTCGGGAGAATAGCAGCTTCCGCTTCCTGTCCCGCTTTTGGCGGGGTGGCAGATGCCGGTCATGGCGGCGGCTTTCCTTCCTCGCGGAGGCGCTGGAGGTGGGTCATATTGTTATATATTATTACGGGGGGGGGGGTGGAGTGGGGGTGCTGCTGGAGGGAGTTGTGGGGAGGGATTTTTTTTAAAAAAAAAACCCTGTTAGGCAAACCGTTTCAATGTAAGTTTTTTTTTCTTTGTCTCTTTTTTCTAGTCGTCAGTTTATCCAGATTTTCACATTTTTAAAGATCTCTTGAAAATTGTTCAGCATTTTGGTGCAGATCTCGCCTAATGCTCACGCTTTTGCAAAGGGTATTTCCCCAAATATTTACATTTCCCATAATTAATGCATTTTCAATTTAATTCCGCTAAAATAATGCATTTATATGGCTTTCCCCCTTTGTATGGGGGTAGGACATCTTTTCCCAATGGAAGGGAGGATCTTTCTCCTCCTCTCCTCCCTGCAGGCCAACTTGGGCAGGTGGGGGACCTTCCTTGGGCTCCCCATAGGGCTTGGGGTCAAGGCAAAGCCTTAAGCATTGGGAAACCTACTTCAGGGGCTGCCCCTGGAACCTGTAATAATTTTTATCCGGCCTGATTTTATTATAATTTATTAAAATTGTATACCTCCCTGTACCCACAGGCCTTAGGGCAGTTCACAGGATAAAATCGCAATATAAAAACTCAAAGTACACAATCAAAACATAAACAAAATCAACCCAATAACCCCCGCAAACCACACACATTTTAAAACATTTGTGTTTCAATTAAATACAGCAGTTCTGGCAGAAGACGTTAAAAAAGAGGAGAAACAAGCAACTTCAAGTCCACATTAAAATTCCAAGTGTGGCTGAGGCCTTAGTTAGACAGGCTACTACTATTACTATTACTACTCCCAACACCCCTGAGCACCCTCTCCCACCAGTGTCTTGCCTCGGTAATGGACTGGATGAGAGCCAACAAATTGAAGCTCAATCCAGATAAGAGTGAGGCTCAGTTAGTGGGTGCTTCCCTAGAGCAGATGGCTGGAAGGTCGCCTGCTCTTGATGGGGTTACACTTCCTCTGGAGAAGCAGGTTCGTAGCTTGGGGGTAATCCTGGATCCGTTGCTCAAGGCTCAGATGGCCTGTAGTGCCTTTCATCAGCTTTGGCTGGTAGCCCAGTTACACCCCTATCTGGACAGGAATAGCTTATCTACCGTTATCCATGCTCTGGGAACTTCAACGTTAGATATAGATATGCCTTGGAAACTCGCTTTCCTCTCAAATCTTCTCATTTTTTATGTCCATGGAGCTTTCATGGCATAATACTGGAGTGGGTTGTCAGTTTCTTCACCAGGTGGATCACATTTAGTCTAAACTCTCGGCTGACCTGTCTGTCTTGGGTGACCCTGCATGGCATAGGTCATAGCTTCTCTGACTTATTCAAGCTCCTTCACCACGACAAGGCAGTGATCCATGAAGGGATATACACCTTTAAGTGCCATGCAAACATGTTCCTTTTTAACCAGGCTTTTGCTTGATATGTTTGACATCCTATAGTCTTTTTCAAAGGTGGCTCTTTTTTGGGGGGGTATTGGGTTGTTATGTTTATTCTGATTACATATGATGTGATCTTTTCTGCGAACCACGCTGAGTCCTCCGGGTTTAAGGCGGTATATAAACTCAATAAACAATAATACCATATTAATACTTTCATTATTGGTACCCCACGGATCTGACTGGCTTCCCCAGCCACTCTAGCTGGCTTCTAACAAATATAAAAGCATAATAAAACATTTAAAACTTCCCTCTACATGGCTGCCTCCAGTTGTCTTCTAAAAGTTATATAGTTGTTTGTTTCCTTGACATCTGACGGGATAGCTTTCCACAGGGTGGGCACCACTACCAAGAAGGCCCTCCGTCTCGTTCCCTGTAACTTCCCTTCTCACAGGGAGGGAACTGCCACAAGGCCCTTGGAACCTGGATCTCTGTGTCCTGACTGAATGATTGGTGTGAAGACGCTCCTTTAGCATTTCATCAGTTTGCCTTTTTATTCCATCAGGAGATGTTGAAGGGATGCTGGCAGAAGGGGAACAATCAGAAGTGTCACCCAAAGAATCCAAAGAGCAAAGGAAGCTGAGGGTTCAAGATGGAAGCCGAAGGCGAGAAGGGAGACGAAAGCAGAAGCCGGAGGGTGACTCTTGTACGTCTCAGGGTGGTGAAAATCAAATTCCTAGAGAGGAGAAAAAGCATGAATGCACCGTGTGTGGAAAGAGATTTGGTCGTCGCTCAACTCTTACTTTACATCAAAGAGTACACACAGGGGAGAAACCGTATACATGTTTAGAGTGTGGAAAGAGCTTCAGTGAACGTGGTAAGCTTACCTTGCATCAAAGAACTCATACAGGGGAGAAACCGTATACATGTTTAGAGTGTGGAAAGAGCTTCAGTGTCAGTGGTAACCTTACCTCGCATCAAAGAACTCATACAGGGGAGAAACCGTATACATGTTTAGAGTGTGGAAAGAGCTTCAGTCGATGTGGCCAGCTTACTACGCATCAAAGATCTCATACAGAGGAGAAACCGTATACATGTTCAGAGTGTGGAAGGAGCTTCAGTGAGAATGGTGCCCTTACCTCGCATCAAATAACTCATACAGGGGAGAAACCGTATAAATGCTTGGAGTGTGGAAAGAGCTTCAGTCACTGTAGTGCCTTTATCTTGCATCGAAGAACTCATACAGGAGAGAAACCGTATACATGTTCCGAGTGTGGAAAGAGCTTCAGTCACTCTGGCCACCTTACTATGCATCAAAGATCTCATACAGGGGAGAAACCATATACATGTTCAGAGTGTGGAAGGAGCTTCAGCCAGAGTGGCAGCCTTAGCTCGCATCAAAGATTGCACACAGGAGAGAAACCGCATACGTGTTTGGAGTGTGGAATGAGCTTCGCTCGCAGCAATGCGCTTACTAGACATCAACAAACTCATCAAGGCAGCAAACCTTATAAATGCTGGGAATGTGGCAAGAGCTTCAGTCGCATCGACAACCTTTCCTCGCATGAAAGAATTCATACAGGGGAGAAACGATATACATGTTTCGAGTGTGGAAAGAGCTTCAGCCACAGTTCCAGCCTTACCTTCCATCAAAGATTGCACACAGGAGAGGAACCGTATAAATGTTTGGAGTGTGGGAAGAGCTTTAGTCGTGGTAGCTTACTTACATTGCATCAAAGAACTCATACAGGGGAGAAACCGTATACATGTTCAGAATGTGGAAAAAGCTTCAGTCAGAGTAGCTCCCTTAAGTCGCATCAACGAACTCATACAGGGAGGAAATCTTAGAAATGTTTGGTTTATGGAAAGAACTTCAGTGACAGGGGCTCGCTTCCTAAACAATAAAGAACTCGTACAAGGGAAACATCTTAGAAAGGGTTGTCGTGTGGGAAGATCTTTAATCATAACAAATAACTCCTACAGAGAGTAAACCAATGATCGTGTTCTGGTCCCCCCAGGACAGCCATTATTGTATTGGAAGAACTTTCTGACAGTAAGAGCTGTTTTGACATTGGAACAGTCTCCTTCGGTGGGAGGTGGGCTCTCCTTCCTTGGAGGTTTTTAAGCAGAGGTTGGATGGGCTTCTGCTATGGATGCTTTAGCTGAGATTACTTCATTGCTGGGGGTTGGACTGAATGACCCTTTTGTTGTTTAGTCGTTTATTTGTGTCCGACTCTTCATGACCCCATGGACCAGAGCACGCCAGGCACTCCTGTCTTCCTCCACCTCCCGCAGTTTGGTCAGGCTCATGTTTGTAGCTTCGAGAACACTATCCAACCATCTCGTCCTCTGTCGTCCCCTTCTCCTTGTGCCCTCCATCTTTCCCAGCATCAGTGTCTTCTCCAGGGAGTCTTCTCTTCTCATGAGGTGGCCAAAGTATTGGAGCCTCAACTTCACTATCTGTCCTTCCAGTGAGCACTCAGGGCTGATTTTCTTAAGAATGGATACATTTGATCTTCTTGCAGTCCATGGCACTCTCAACGAGTCTCCCCCAGCACCATAATTCAAAATCATCAATTCTTCGGTGATCAGCCTAGATGACCCTTGGGGTCCCTTATAACTACAGTTCTATGATTCTATATACATCATCTGCTAGACAGCTGTTGTCACAAGCTTGGCAAATCCAGACATATACTTGATCATCAGATAATGCCAATATTATTCACTTGGACTGTGCTGTTTGAATCCATGTACAATTCTAGGTGCCTATTCTATAGTTTTGCTTTTCATATCCTAATTTTCATTGCTGTTACTTGTAGCGTTAATATCCTAATTTTCATTGCTGTTACTTGAAGGAAGGAACGGTAGTATTCACCATCTCTTCCTGAACTCTCTTCCTGGCCCTAAGATCTATCTAAAGATTAACAAACTACATCAAAGTAACCTATTAACTTTATGGCCTAGGGTGCCTGGTTCAGCAACTGGTCTGTGTCCTAGAATGCTTATACGTGCTTGTCAGACAGAGAGAAAAGGCAGTAGAGAAAAATGGCGTGGATGCAGAGGCTTGTGGGATTTGATCAGAAATTTTTGTCAATGAATTATAGAATCATAGAGTTGGAAGAGACCACAAGGGCCATCGAGTCCAACCCCCTGCCAAGCAGGAAACACCATCAGAGCACTCCTGACATATGGTTGTCAAGCCTCTGCTTAAAGACCTCCAAAGAAGGAGACTCCACCACACTCCTTGGCAGCAAATTCCACTGTCATACACCTCTTACTGTCAGGAAGTTCTTCCTAATGTTTAGGTGGAATCTTCTTTCTTGTAGTTTGGATCCATTGCTCCGTGTCCGCTTCTCTGGAGCAGCAGAAAACAACCTTTCTCCCTCCTCTATGTGACATCCTTTTATATATTTGAACATGGAGATTTCCGGGTTAGCGCGATCGGCTAATGGCGGATTCCCTCCGAGCTCCGGAGGGAATCTGCTCAACAGGGGCCGGGTCTTGCCGTGCCAGCGACGCGGGGACCCTTAAAAACCAGCGCGGGAGGTGCAAAGAGGAAGTCCGTCTCCCCCCCATTGTAAACAGTTTCAAGCAAGGATTTGCCAACTAAGGTTGCGAGAAGAGCTGTTTTTTCTTCCTGACTGGATAAAAGTTATTAATTCCACGGATTTAAAAGTCTAAGTTACCGTGCTGGGGGACAAGAGTTTATTTGTTTAGATTAAGTGCCACTCTTCTCGAGACCGGGAGTAACCCGTGAAAAGAGCCTGCTGAGGGTTTACAGAAGACTTTGACAGCTGTCAAATTAGCTGTCAAGGTCGGAAAAAACTGAAAGCTTTGGCTTTAGCCGGTTATATTGTTACAAAGTATTGAAAGTAAAGAAAGATTGATACAAATAAATTTGACTTTTGGATCGGAAGTGAAAGGAATATTAAGTAACCAGAATCCCTCTAGAGGGGATTCACGGACATAACAAGAATGGAAATAGGTTGGAAAATTCTGGCAGATCTGGATGAGGTTATCGTTCTCATGGGAAAACTGCGAAAGATGTATGAGCAAGGCCATGTTTTGTCTACAAGTCCTGCAAAACCGAAGTCAACAGTAAATATACCCTCTGAGTTGGAAAAGGACTTGATGTTCAAAACACAGGCAGCTGGACAGGAAAAGAAACCAAAGACTGAAGAGGAGGAAAAGATACTTGCTGAACAGGAGGAGCAGAAAGGAGATGTGGCCGAAATGTTACAGAAGGTAAACGAGAGCCGGAGACCTGTCAAGATGACTTCAAGCTCGACCAAGGTGGAAGCTGGAGTATTTGGGACACATGGATTTAACAAACAGAGCTTGAGCTCCACCTCTAAACAAGTAGGCCTAGCTGGAAGGATCATGGACATTATCGAGAAAGTGCCTCTTCGAGTTCGGGTGTCAATCATAAGGGACTTTCAAAGAAGCCGGCTGAAAGGGACTGAGAGAGATTTGAGAGCCTCGGACGTAAGGTCACCAGGCTAAAAAGACGGACTAATGGACTATGGTTTGGGATTGAAACGGGGGAAAGAAGGGTGGGGTTTGGAAGTCCAAAGGGGGCCTGATCTTTATTTTGCTGTGTTAAAATTTTATGTTGTTTATCATTATAAGAATGGGGAATTCGTGGAAGGGAAATAGGGTCAACCTTAGAAAAAGTTTTTTTTTTCGTTTTTTTTACATATGATCAAGGTATATAATTTGAAAGTTGTCTTATAAACTGAACTAAATATAATAATGAATTAAGGGTTAAAATCTACTATAAAGAAATACATTAACAAATTAAGGTTAAGACATTAGGGATAAAAACTTGTTGAACAAATAATTGGATGTGGAATACAAGAAGGGGAGGTGAGGGGAAGTCGTGAAAAGAAGTTACTGAAAATGAGATCTTAAAGGTGGAACTTTTTTGTGCTTTTCTTTGTTTTTCTGTTTTGTCTTTTGTATCTTTTGAAACTTTAATAAATATTATTTTTAAATATATATATATATATATATATATATTTGAACATGGCTATCATATCACCCCTTAGCCTCCTCTTCTCCAGGCTAAACATGCCCAGCTCCCTTAGCCGTTCCTCATAAGGCACTGTTTCCAGGCCTTTGACCATTTTGGTTGCCCTCCTCTGGACACATTCCAGTTTGTCAGTGTCCTTCTTGAACTGTGGTGCCCAGAACTGGACACAGTACTCCAGGTGAGGTCTGACCAGAGCAGAATACAGTGGCACTATTACTTCCCTTGATCTAGATGCTATACACCTATTGATGCAGCCCAGAATTGTCACCCATCTTGTATTTGTGCCTCTCATTTTTTTTGCCCAAGTGCAATACTTTACATTTCTCCCTGTTAAAGTTCATCTTGTTTGTTTTGGCCCAGTTCTCTAATCTGTCAAGGTCGTTTTGAAGTGTGATCCTGTCCTTTGGGGTGTTAGCCACCCCTCCCAGTTTGGTGTCATCTGCAAATTTGATCAGGATGCCCTTGAGTCCATCATCCAAGTCGTTGATAAAGATGTTGAATAAGACCGGGCCCAAGACAGAACCCTGTGGCACCCCACTAGTCACTCTTCTCCAGGATGAAGAGGAACCATTGATGAGCACCCTTTGGGTTCGGTCAGTCAGCCAGTTACAAATCCACTGAGTGGTAGCATAGTCAAGACCGCATTTTACCAGCTTCTTTACAAGAATATCATGGGGCACCTTGTCAAATGCCTTGCTGAAATCAAGGTAGGCTACATCCACTGCGTTCCCTTCATCTACCAGGCTTGTAATTCTGTCAAAAAACGAGATCAGGTTAGTCTGACATGACTTATTTTTCAGAAATCCATGCTGACTATTGGTGATCACAGCATTCCTTTCTAGGTGCTCACAGACTGTTTGCTTAATGATCCGCTCCAGAATCTTCCCTGGTATTGATGTCAGACTGACTGGGCGGTAATTATTTGGGTCCTCTCTTTTCCCCTTTTTGAAAATAGGGACATTTGCCCTCCTCCAGTCTGCCAGGACATCGCCTGTTCTCCAGGAATTCTCAAAGATGACTGCCAGTGGTTCTGAGATCACATCTGCCAGTTCTTTTAATACTCTTGGATGCAGTTCATCTGGCCCTGGAGACTTGAATGCATCTAAACTAGCCAAGTATTCTTGTACTATCTCCTTAGTTATTCTGGGCTGTGTTTCCTTTGCTGAATCATTTGCTCCAAATTCTTCAGGTCGGGCATTGTTTTCTTTATCGGAGAAGACTGAGGCAAAGAAGGCATCGAGGAGTTCAGCCCTTTCTGTGTCCCCTGTTTGCATTTCACCATATTCTCCTCTGAGTGACCCCACTGTTTCTTTGTCCTTTCTTTTGCTATGAACATACCCATAAAAGCCTTTTTTGTTGCTTTTAACCTCTCTAGCAAGCCTGAGTTCATTCTGTGCATTAGCTTTTCTGACTTTGTGTCTACACGTGCTGGCTATTTGTTTGAATTCCTCTTTGGTGGTTTCCCCCCTATTCCATTTTTTGTACACATCCTTTTTAAATCTTAACTCAGTTTAAAAGTTCTTTAGACAGCCACCCTGGCTTCTTTAGGCACCTTCCATGTTTCCGTCTCATTGGTATTGCCTGACGTTGTGCTTTTACTATCTCCCTCTTAACAAACTCCCAGCCATCATGAACGCCCTTTCCTTTTAGTATTACTGTCCATGGGATCTCACCCAGCACTTCCCTAAGTTTTATGAAGTCGGCTTTCTTAAAGTCAAGAAATTGAGTCCTAGTATGCTTGGCTGCTCCTTTCCACTGTATAGTAAACTTCAGAAGAGCATGATCACTCGCGCCTAATGATCCTTCCACTTCTACCCCACTAACCAGGTCATCAACATTGGTTAGGACCAGATCTAAAATGGCTGTTCCTCTTGTTGCTTCTCCCACTTTCTGGACAATGAAGTTGTCTGCAAGGCCAGTGAGGAATCTGTTTGACCTTATGCTCTTGGCTGAGTTTGACATCCAACAAATATCCGGGTAATTGAAGTCCCCCATTACTACTATCTCCCTTCCTTTTGCATGCTTGGCCAGTCAGCGCAATGCTTTCATCGCGGACACAATGGCTTGATGCATAT